TAGTGGTAGAGGTAGGTAATCTGTTGATCAAATATGTAGCATGTAGGATTGAGTAAGGCCAAAATTTGGATGATAGGTTTGATTGAAACATGCAGGCTCTTGCTAAGTTCAAAATTTGCCTATGTTTTCTTTCAACAACACCATTTTGTTGTGGTGTGTATGGACAAGAAGTTTGGTGGAGAATACCATGTTGTGAAAAAAGTGTTTGACATGTATGACTTAGGAACTCAGTGCCATTATCACTTCTGAATTGCTGAATCTTGGTATTAAACTGAGTAATGACCATTTGAATGAAATCACTAAGAATGACTGGAACTTGGCTTTTGTGTTTAAGAAGATAAACCCAAACCCCCCCTGCTGTGATCATCTACTAGGGTAAGGAAGTATGGAGTATTTGTGAGGTTAGAGACATTGTGAGGACCCCAAACATCCATGTGAACCAATTCAAACAAAGAGTTTTTATGTGTATCACTGGAAGTAAAGGATAATCTTGGCTGCTTGGATTTATGACAAATTTCACACTGATGAGTAAAACTCTTGGCCTCAGAATTACAAAGAGATTTCATAAAATCTACATGCTCTAAAACAGAAATAGAAGCATGTCCAAATCTTTTATGCCACAAAGAAAAAGAGTTCAAGTGGGATGAAGTCACAGAGTTACAAGAAGTAGAAATAAAGTCTGAAGGTTTCAAAGTGTATAGTCTTCCCACTGTCTTTCCACTGGCAATAATTTCCTTAGTCTCCTGGTCCTGTAGACAAAAATGTGTAGGGTAGAACATGCTTAAAATACATGATTGTTGTGCCAATTGAGCTACTGAAATCAAATTGTATTTGAAGGTAGGTATGTAAAGCACATCATGCAAAAATAGTTTGTCATGTAACTTGACTGATCCTGATTGTTTAACTGATAGTTTGGTTCCATTTGGAAGTAAAATGTCTATAGGTGAGATGGTGTATATGTGGCTTAAAAGGTCAGAAACATGACTCATATGTCTGCTGGCACCGGTATCTAATATCCAAGAACCTTCATCTACATTTTCAACACTAGTTAAGGCAAAAGAAGGATGAGTAAGAGATATACCAGCATAGTTGTTTGTCCCATTTTTGTCACATTTTTCGTGATTATTTTTCTTTTCTTTTTCCCCCATGTTATGTGTGTTTCCTTAGTTTTGGTCCGTTTTGTTTCTTTTCGTGTGTTTTCATTTATTTAGTGTCTTTGTGTTTTCTTTTGGTTATTTTCTTCGTTTTCTCCGTTTTTGTTCTCGTCTAGTGGTGTGCAGGTTGTAAGGATCCGGGAAGATTTATTTTTAACGATTAACGGACTGGGCAATCCAAGAAAGCTAAGCTCTCGACCCATGTCACACATTTCTTCTCTACGATCGGACCGGAAATCATCATCGCCCAAGCCTCGTCGGGCCCCAAAATCGTGGTCATTCGTCCACCACCGGCGACCCCGAACACCACCGTGAGCAGCAACTTCACACCTAGAAACAGTGCCACCACCCATCTGCTACACCTCATCTTCACCCCGGCTTACCATCCGCATCACCGTGCAAAATCCACAAGCCGACGGAGCCCACAACAGCACTGTTCGCGATCTCATGTTCATCTCCTCTGCCGCACCATGAGGAAGCTTCACCGCGCTGCAACCACTCCGCCATGGCAGACCCCCTTCACGGCGCTGCTCCCCATCAAGCCGCGACACCATCAACATCACGCCGCGAAATACCATCGCGCCGCGGAGAAGCCCCCTGTCACGCCGTGTAGCGCTGCCACGCTGTAGAAAACACCCTCGTCGCGCCGCTGCTCCCCATCACGCCGCGACACCCTGCGTTTTTTTCCCTCTCAGTCCGGCTTTCAAGGCCGCGGCCGCGAGTTTTCTTCACCGCGGCCGCGGCGACCAAAAGGGCCCCAAACTTCCCGTCTGCAGAGAACAATTTTCGCGGCCTCGGGCGATCTCGCGGCCGTGGAACCCTTCTTCACCGCGGCCCGAGAGATTTCCCGCGGCCGCGAGGTGCGCGATGACAAGTTTTAAAAATCTGATTTCTGCGATTTGGGGCAGGCAGTTTTTTGGGAATTCGAAGTCGAGGTTTAGGGATATTTTTGGGCTGGTCCCTTCATTTTGGTTCCCAACTCATTTTTTTTACTTTTCTTTTATTAATTTTGCACGTAGAACACAGATCGGATTTCGGATTTTGCTTTTTCTCTCGGATTAATCTTGTTTACCGGATTGACATCCAATTTCCATTAATCGTAAGTTTTTCGTTATTTCTAATCTATGGATTTATTCGTTTCGATTATGGATGATTGTGTCGATTATTCGATCATGAGTAGCTAAATTCAATTGCTAGGGATTAGGGGATTGATGTTTTAATTCGTTCGTGATTGTCGGGCTTGAGATTGTTCATTTTGTACGAGTCGAGCTTTTGTTAGGGTTTTTCAATTATCATATTTGAATATTGAGGATTATTGAAGGGTGACACTTCGATTTCCAATTGATTTCAATTGAGTTCGATTTATTCTTGTTTGTAATTGTTAATTCTAAACGGGCTAGTTGATTAATCATCTTCTAGTCTAAGTTAATCGACTCTTAGAACCGAAAGGGGAGGAGTCGGTCGTAATAAGCTCGTATGAACTAGGCTTGTTCGTAGCTGTATTGCCTAGGCGTTAATTGAATTGTTAATTTGTCGTTTGAGCTTGTTCTCTTGTTACGAACAGTTATTGAGAATGAAAACTTGAACGATAGGTTGTTCAAATCATTTAACCGAATAATCTCTTACCCATCAATTGCATTCTCGAATCAAAACGGATATCCCCGACTCCCTAGCTCGTTAAATCCTATTTGTTCTTCGTCTTTGCTTGCTTCTTTTACTGTTTAATTTAATTATTTGCAATAGTTGATAATTAAAAACCAATCCAATTATTTGAACTAGAATGTTTAGGAATTTTATTTCTTTTATTTTTTTTGTGTTCTTGAATAAACGTGCATTATATTCCGGCTAACCTTCCTCGTGAGACACGACCCGGTGTCCGAATCTTTCGATTCTACTCCGGAAAATATTTACAACAATAGTCTGCAAAATGAGCATGATTCTGAGTCCCCTCATAGCTTTGTTTGCCACCAACTGAGAGATATTTGGCAATCTCTTGCTTAATCAAATTTGATATATCTTGTAAAGGAAGTTCTCCTACCTTTCCTTCAACGCCACCATTATCCTTGGGCAATATTTCTGTCTTCACTGTGTGTGCCACCATTTTCCCTTGTTGTTTTGCTCTCTGCTCCTTTAAGGTTTTAAACCACTCCGGGTAGCCGTGAAGCTTGAAACAAGCCTGAGATAAATGCCCAAACTCCTGACAATAGTCACATTTCTGTTTTGCCTTCTCTTCCTTAGATAGTCTCACAAAGCCTCTACCCCTTCCTCCTTGCCAATTATGTCCACTACCTTCTCCCTTTCCAGCCACTCATCTTCCATATCCATTAAATTTGCTAAATAGAGCATTCTGCTCTCTTATCTCAGGAAATTGTTGCTGAACAGACCTATGTTTCTCCACCCTCTGTATCATTGAGTACGCTCTGTTTACTGTGGGTAAGGGCTCTAGGAGGAGGATTTGGCTCATCACTCTTTCATAGCTCTCATGTAGGCCCATGAGAAATTGCAACAATTTTCGGTTCTCCTCAATTGTCATCATTTGCTGCATAGATCCACATTTACACACAGGAACATAAACCAAACTTGCATATTCATCCCACAGCCTT